AGTAAGTTGAGTTAGTCATTTGTCCTAAATAAGTACTACCTCCGGTCCTTAATATAAGACCCTATTTGACTTTTATTTTAGCCCTAAATATAAGACCCCAATCTATTTTATCTCTCATATTTATACATTTTTTTTCAAAATAGCCCTTCTAACAATGATAGTTCTAGTCAATACATTTGATTAGCAAAAATATTTTAGGAAAGACAACACCTATTTATGACAAATAACTAACTCAACTTACTTCCTTAATCTCCTCAAATTAGTCAACTGGCTTTTATAATTAGGACCGGAGGTAGTATTGTTTTTCTAAAATATCCTTATTAATTAAGTATATTGACTAGAATTATCATTGTTATAAGGGTTACTTTGGAATAAAATGTATAAATATGAGAGACAAAATAGATTGTGGTCTTGTATTTAGGATCAAAATAAAAATCAAATAGAATTTTATATTAAGAACCGGAGGTAGTATTACAAAATAGGTCTTATTTTTAAAATCAGAGAAATAATTTTTTCATGATATTGAAACCCAACAATCGGATGATCAAAATAGTAAATAAATGAATTGGTTTTTTTTTTGTCGATCTGATAAAGAATTTCTGATGTGTCAATGGGATTGAATTTGATTTTTTCCCCTTATTAAAGTGGAAACGATGTCGTTTCGGGTTTTTTTTTTCAAATAAAAGATTTTGATAACTTTATTTTATTGATCATGTGTGACCGACATATGAATACATAGATCAATATTTTTTCATTTAAATGTTACTCTTTCCCATTGTTATGCATGAATACTTGCATATATTTTAATTAAAATAAATTATTTTAATTACAATTGGGCCAATGATTATTCAACCATGTCTATTAGACTATATATTGACCATTGAATTATTGTCCCAATTATTTCAATAACCAGCCTGGTTCTTAGTAATGTGAGTATTTTCGGAGATTTAGAGGTGAAAAGGTATATTTTCCTATATAAATTTCTTTTGTACACAAATAACTAAAATTTCAACCCTCACCAATTTGTTTAAGCAACAGGTGGGATCATTACAGTATTTAATTAATAAAAAAATTAATTAACTATATATTATTCTAAGTATACATTAGTGCCTTTGTCTTTCGGGTTTGTGTCCACTTTTGCTCCTTTTAATTTATTTGTTTCTTTGTTTACCTGGTGAATCTTTTTAAATGGCCAACTTGCATAGGAAAGGCCACCTGATACGCTTAATTTTTAAAAATATCTTCAATATTTAACTCTTCTTATCACTCTCTCTTTAATACTACTTGGGCCTTCTTTTATGTCACTTTTCTCTTTTTAGCTGTACTTGCCCTCTTTTTTCTTGATATTAATTACCGCTCTTTAATATAGGATCTAATTATTAAGTTAATTTTGATCCTAAATATAAGGTTTATTTTTTATATTTATCAATTATTCATAAATTATTCTTAGAGATACTCTCTCAGCTATAATCAAGTAGAAGGGTGAGAAAAGATATTAAGAAAGATGATTATGGTGTTTTAGTAAAAACATGTCATATTTTTTATAATTAACTAACTTATCTAATAACTTTTTTAATCTAATCAAATTAGTTAAATATGTTTTATATTAAGGATCGGATGAATATTATTTAATAGGGTCATATGTTCATCACCAAGACACCAACATACTAATAATCAATTTAATATATATTTTTATAGGGTCAATTTTTAAAAAAATTTTCACATTATTTTCGCTAGGCTAAAACTTGTCCAATTTTTTTAAAAAAATCGTTCTGATTCTGAATCTAATTTCAAGTTTTAGCTCAATAGAAGCTTAATCTCAATTCAACTCAATTTAATCATGAAAATGGTTTTCTGAAACCAAACCGCTAACAAATCTGATCAAAGTTGAAATTGATCGGACCATCCAATTTGATCCGCTTGTTTGATCAATGGCTTGAACCATGCCTCTAATACGTCCTTATGCATTTGTTTCCTCTCCAAGTGTGAATTAACGTCCAATTAGTTTTGGTTAACCGTAAAGAAAGGAAAAATTAAGTGGTTACAACTTACAACTTATTAACATATGTGAAAAAAACGGAAGATTCCAAAATTTAGATTCTACATATTTTGGACACTTAACCTAACTAAAGTCAGGTGATTCATCTGCTGTAACATTCCCATATATTAGTTTGTTATAAAAAAAAAAAACAAAGAAAAATTGAAACCATATTTTTAAAAAAAAACTAATACCAATGTATGAATTAACGAATTATACATATAGATTGTATGTCTTTAAAAAAAGGTAGAGGATAGTTTCACCAATAATTTGTGCAGCTATCTATCTCAACGTTATCTTTTTTTTTTTTTCAACTTTATGAAGTTAATGACTTTATAATTTAATGCCATATAAAATTTTCTCATAAGTTAAAATCATGGGTTCAATCCTGTTTCGAATCTCATACGGTTATTGTCTATTTTTTAAATTAAAAAAAAGACTTTGTAACAACTTAAATTTTAATATAACACATATTTACTTTGTTTAATTTCTATTCAGATAAGCTTATTTTTCTAAGTTTTAAAATTCAAAATATTTTTATTTCAGATCTTACTTTTCAATAGTAAAATTTACTAAAAATAGAAACAATTCAAATGCTGAAATTTAAGGAAAATCTATAAAGTGCGGTTTTGACTAGAATACCGTGAAACGGCTTGATATTTTGGAAGGACAAGCCGACTCGTGCCAGCTAAAAAAGTGACATGCTAGTAAATGATTCGCCCACTTCGTAAAAAGTTAAAAGTTAAAAGCAAAAAGCTTAGAACAAAATTAATTAATTTTAAAAGATTTCAAATATAGAGCATACTCATGCGCGAGGAGTATTTTTCTCATAGAAGAATTAATTATATGATCGTTTTTAAATTTCTATCTAATTAGACTCATATCACTATTTTCTAAATATATATCAAATCTAATCTAAATATTCCTTAAGATAAGCCATTAAATTTATGGTATGTCTCATAATTTACAAGTTATAAATATTAGGACTCATTATTTCAGTGAAACGGCACATATTAATAATTTTTTAAAGAAAATATGTTTTTATTTATTTTTATAGTTTTTTAAGATAAAAAATTAATATTAGTAACAATTTTTAGAAAAAGGTCTATTTTAATAGTGAAACTAATTCAAGTAGCAAGGGTAGGGGTGGAGTATAGGCATAAATGTAAGTTGAAATTTCTTGATATAAAAAATGTAATTTTAACTTAATTTTATAAATTTTTACAATTTGGGGAAAAAACAAAACTATGTAATTTTAATATTAATATCATATTATGATTTTTTAAATTGTATACCTAAGAAAAGGAACAATTCCGGAACCCAGCGATGAATTCATCATGAGCTGGGAGAGGGGAGAGGACTTGCACCGCCATAAGCAAAAAAGGACAAGGGCAATTTGGGGATATCGAAAGGCAGAACAAAATTCAAGTGGAAGCCAAGCCACCGGGTCCCCGTGGCACAGGAAAATCGCTATATAAACCAGACGCTCCACTCGCACATCCTCTGTCCCGTGACACTCTGTGGGTTGCTCCTTCTTTTTCGCCTTCTTTTCCCTCGTCAACCCACTCAGCCATGGAACCAGGCGCTCCTCCGCCGCCTATGCCGCCGCCACTCCCGTCACCTCCGGCATCACCCTCTCCCTCATCCTCTGCCGTCACCATCCTCGGAAAGTACCAGTTGATCCGTCTCCTAGGTCGCGGCAGCTTCGCCAAGGTTTACCAGGCTCGATCCTTAATCGACGGCTCCATCGTCGCCGTGAAAATCATTGACAAGTCGAAAACTAATGCCTCCATGGAGCCTCGGATTGTTCGTGAGGTCGATGCAATGCGACGGCTTCACGACCACCCTCATATTCTTAAAATCCAAGAGGTTTTGGCTACGAAGACGAAGATCTACCTGATTGTGGAGTTCGCTGCCGGCGGGGAGTTATTCTCCAAGATCTCGCGTAAAGGCCGGATGACGGAGGCGGTGGCTCGGCGGTACTTCCAGCAATTGGTTTCCGCCCTCTGTTTCTGCCACAAAAACGGCGTCGCACACCGTGATCTGAAGCCTCAGAATCTTCTCTTGGACCACGAAGGGAATCTGAAGGTCTCCGATTTCGGACTCTCCGCCTTACCTGAACAGCTTAAAAACGGGTTGCTCCACACGGCTTGTGGCACGCCGGCTTATACCGCGCCGGAGATCCTCCGCCGGCGCGAATACGAAGGCTCGAAAGCCGACGCGTGGTCGTGCGGGCTTATACTCTACGTACTGCTCGCCGGCTACCTCCCGTTCTCCGACGCCAACATCCCTGAGATGTGCAAGAAGATCAGCCGGCGAGATTACCAGTTCCCGGAGTGGATATCCAAGCCGGCGCGTTTCGTGATTAACCGACTACTCGACCCGAACCCGAAGAATCGGATGAGTCTAGAATCTCTCTATCAAAACTCTTGGTTCAAGAAATCGCTCAAGCCCCAACCCGACGAGAGCTTATTCGAGTCGGGTCCCACCGCGAAATCGTATCAAAAGCTCGAGAGGATGGGTTCGGGCGTGAACGCCTTCGACATAATCTCCATGTCATCAGGTCTGGACCTGACGGGGTTGTTCGAAACGACGTCGGACAACAGGAGAGAAAAGAGATTCACATCGAAAGCTTCAATGAAAGCAGTGGAAGAGAAAGTGAAGGAAGTAGGAGGAATTTTAGGGTTCAAAGTCGAGATAAGTAAGAACGGAGCTATTGGCTTAGGGAAAGGAAAGGTGGTTCTTGTTGTGGAGGTGTTTGAAGTAGTTCCTGAGCTGTTGATGGTGACAGTGAAAGTGATGAATGGTGGGTTTGAGTTTGATGAGGTCCACTGGGGAGACTGGAAATCTGGGCTTCAGGATGTTGTCCTTTCATGGCACAATGAATCGCTGTGAATATTACATATATATATGCTACTTAGCTAGATAATTAAGCTTCAACTTGTCAGTCTGATGAAGGAAGGAAGCTAGGATCTGATGCGAGCCTGTGAATTTTCTTCTCAAATGAAGGATCTTCTGCAACAACAAAGGCTTACAAGAAGATGAAGGAAGAAGGGAAAAAAATCCAGATGAAGAAGAAATTGGAATTGCAGGCTGATGGCGATGAAGAAGAAGGTTGTTTCGAGATAGAGACGTATTTTTCATTTGATATTTTTTTAGGTATTATATAATCTTTTTCCGTAGAAACAAATAACTAATCTTAAAAAAAGTATAAAAATAGGAGTATTAATTGTGCCGGGGTTTTATGTTCAGATCTTTTGGTTTTGAATGATTTTATTGTTTGTGTTTGTACATGAGAATGACAGTGCAGAAATTTCAGTGCTTCTTCCATATTAGTGCTTGATTTTATGATCTTCGTTAGATTCTTTCCTCTGTTACCTACGTCACCCTTCAATCATTCACGCGGTAGAGGAAGAGAAATGGAAATAGACCCTGAATTCTGTTTCCATTCATCAATTATCAAATGAAATTAAAGTGGTGACAGAGTTCAGCGAAATATACCAAGAGTATCTGTTTGCATTGACTTTCTAGTGGTAAAATAACAAGATTATAATACTATTTTTAATCCTAATTATAAATTCTTATTTATATTCCAACTGATGTTTTATAATTACGACTGAAGGTAGTATCACGTTTCAACTGTAACATATTCAATAATACAGCAGCAAAGGTTGGGGTCCACTTGGCTCCACTGATTCTTTGAATTTTATTTAAAGTTCGCGTTGAGTGGAAGATATATTTAAACAAAAGAAAGTAAACTTCAAATGCCGAGTTCTTCTCCCATTATTTTCGAAAATAATTAGATGACATTAGAACCAGAGTGCATGAATGAATATATCCCCAAGTTCAAAACTCAAAAGGCATTTACAATAATACTTATTAGTATAATTTATTTATCAACAACGTCTTTGGGAAGTATTAGCTGTACGGTGTATATTTGTTTTTAATATTCATTAAATGTAATGATTAAGTTCTCTTGAGATATTGCCAACTGAGAGGTTAATGAATGTGGAGATTTTTTGTGCTTTTGGGCCAGAATTGGTCATAGGCCAATTGGCCAGCTCGTGAACGAATAATGGAGAAGTCCACCTGGAGGGTGGTAGTAAGCTTAATTGATGTCACTGTGTGGAGAGTCATTGTTTCGATGCTTACTTTGATTTGATGACTGAGTCGGCATGAGGTTGGGAACAGCCAAATTCCACTCTAATTCCTGTTAAACCACGTTTTCTTTTAACCATAATATGTGCATATACAATATTATCAAAACAAAACGGCTCAATAGAAGCATTCGCACTTGGGCCAAAAGTGTCAACCTCAAGGTAATTTAAGTGTACAAGTTGAGTTTATTATTGATTGGACTTTCTTGTTAAAAAAAAAAAAAGGATGTAAATTGATTTGGTATAGTATTGAGTCAAAGTCAAATTAGGCTTCGCCTCAATTGACGGCTCATGACGATCCAAGAGAGAACCAATGGAATCATAGGAGTACATTCTTGGGATATGCCCTCCCAATTATGTATTTAAGGTGTGCTCTTCTTATGGATTAATGATAAGAGATAATTCTTACTCTCTATGTGTGGTTAATATAACAACTATTTAATTAATTTGATTTAGTTAAAAAGATTAAATAAACTACTTAATACTAATAAATGTGACATGATTACCTTCAAATATTTCTGTGTACCATTATACTACTCCTGATGTTTAGTATTAGATCTTATTGATTAATTTAAAGAGATTAATAAAACTGAATAAATTCATTTTAAGGTATTTATGTTCATTGTTTTTCACTTTTTTTCTAAACTAATTTGCTTGATTTATAAATTAATATATAATCTAATGATATTCATAAGTATCTTAAAGAAATCATATAACAAATGCTATAATCAAGCAATTTATTTAGATTACTTAATCTCTCCAAATTAGTTAATTAGATAATATGTTAGAGATCAAAAGCCATATTATATATCCGTTTGTAAGTTAATTATTTTGGAAAAAAAGATGATAAATATAAAAGATAAAGGTACACCCAAAAAGGAAGATAAAGTGTATTAAGGTCCTACGTTTAGGATGAAGACTAACTCATTAACCAGTTTCTACATTTATGAACTTAGGATTATATAATTTGATTTTTTTTAAAAAAAAAAAGTTATAACGGATACATAAACCGATATTCCATCCAACTTATGGGTTAGCATAAGTTAAATGAGTAGAATCTGTTTGAGTTTACATGGAAAAAGTTTTTTTTTTTAGGTGAAGTTTTAAATCAACTCACTACTTGTGGATTTAATGAACTATCTCATAAGCTTCACATATTTTATAATTAGCTTGGATTTTTCACACGCTTGAAGGTGCTCAGGCTTAATATTTTTTATTATTGACAAATTTATACATGTATATATGATGGTAAATAGTAATGATTAATAAAGTTGGCAAAAAAAAAAAAAAGACTAATAACGTGAAAAGTAGCTTGTTCTTTAGATTTTCCAATTTACCTTGATCTCATTGAAAAACATATCGTAATCTTTCAATGTCTCTGCAAAACGATGGAATGAGAAAGTAGTTAATATGATGACCACGAAAATACGAAAAGCAAAGCACTGGAATAATAAAACACCTCTCGCTAAATAACAGCCTCAAGACAAAACGATTCCCTTAACATAACATCAATCAAAAATATTCTTTGGATTAACTTGTTTGTGAAAATGGAACTCATTATGAATATGTCAATAATCCAAATGGCCTAATGGCATCAAGCTTTGTTTTACTTATTGATGTTGTGAGTTTGTCATGTTAAAACTGTTCAACTGATCTCTTTGTACTTAAGAAAAAGATAACTCATTATCGGGTATGAATGGCCACGGTTTCAGTTTGGCTTACTTTTAATTTCAAAAAACATCTTTTCAGTTCTTTAATCTTACCCTCAGGTCAAAGGTTCTTTAATCTTACCCAATGTTTGGATATGGGACATTAGGAAGGAAAGGATACTATGAGAGAAAACCCTAAAAAAATTCTTCTTCTTCTGGCTCAAAATATAAAGATCAAATCTTTGGAGGGGATTTGTTTTCTTTTTAATATAAATATTACATCGGATTTGTTTGATTATTTAATAGATTTTTTTTTCATTTTAGCCCCTGATTAATTATATGTCTCTTTCATCTCTTCTGCTTTTTAATTCTCTCGTCTTTTTCCCCACTTGTTCTCTCTCCTATTTAGCCTTTTCATAAATAAGAGTGTTTTAGAAAAATAAGTTACATTATTTTACATATTTATTATCTTTAATCAATTTTAACTAAATTTTTTTAAATTATATGAATTAGTTATTTGACATTTATATTTTAAACTGAAAGGACTAAATTTTGTTTTTTTTTTATACTATTTTTGAAGTTTTTCTCCCTAGTATTTCCTTTTTTTCTATACTTTTTCCTCCATCCAAATATAGCTTTCATACTGTTGGCTTCAAATGATAATTTGTTTAACAATTATTTTTACTTCATGTTAGTGTTGGAAAATGTTTTGTTAGCATGTAAAATTTTAACATTAATTTTGTTAATTACGTATGTATAAAATTAAAGAGGCAAAATAGAACTTATGCAAAATTAAAAGACTAAAGTAAACTTTTACCCCTCTCTTAACTTAGAGGGGCAAATATCTATGATTAGAGGCGGGATCAAACTTGTAACTTTCTGCTCATACGAGAGCTTTTATTCTACTAGATCACAAAGTCATTAGCCCTTTTTTAATGTTCTAACAAATAATATTCTATAATATTTGTAGAAAAACAGGGTGTCTCTGACTATGGCTTATGCAGAGAGAATGTAGGGAAAATACAATAGAAGATTTGAGCTCTAAGTATCCTTTTTCTGATAATAAAATACCAATTACACATTAATTATTGTACAAGAGTTTCAAATCTTCAATCTCAATCACCACTTCGCTAGTTTATTATGAAATCGGTTGGCATTAAACTGGTGGTTTTAATAACACCGATAATGACAACACAACTATACGTTGTTGGTTTTGCCCATTATTTAAGTAATATGATAATCTCAGGCAAAAAAAAAAAAGTAATATGATAATCTAATTTTTTTCAAAAGTAATTGATTAATTTGTGGTAGATATTTTTTATTACGTTAGTTTCATTTTGAACGACACATCTATATGTGGTTGTGAGAGAGCGTATTAATTACCAATATATCTATGAAAATTAGAAGAAACAAAATATGGATGTTACAGCTCATATCGAACCTCAAATAGATATTTATTGGATTTATTCTGATTGGTATAAAAAAAAAATCCAGCAAATGAACATATTCCTCCGGTCCTAAATATAAAACTCTTTTTGTAGTGTAATTTACATTACAAAAAAGGTTTTATATTTAGATCATGAGAGTATATGGTAGTGATTGTTTTATCAAATTGTTATAATACTAGTAACATTATAAGGTGAATGTCGAGCTTAAAATAAACAAGAGCACAAAGCTAGATAGTCCTCCGCTCCCTAATATAAAACATAATTGATGAGTTAATGTTAGTCCTATATATAAGGCTTATTTTACATGTTTATCAAAATTTTTTGCCAAATTAAATATTCTCTCAATAATAATTAAGTAGAAGATAGAGGAAGGGAATTAAAAAAGATACTTAGGTTTGGTTTAGTAGGAAACATTAAAAATGAGAGATAAAGAATGTGATTATAGTTAAAAAAATCATTAAAATAGTATTTAGCATAAGAGATTTCTTGTTACATGGGACCAGTCTAGAGCCATCAAAACGGGCCGAGCCCATCGGGCCAGCCCTTTTAAGTGGAGGGCCGAACTTGTATTTTAGGTGGTTTAAAAGGAAATTGGGTTTAAAAGGACTAGCTCTATAGGGCTCAAAAATAAAAGGGCCAACCCTTTAGAGCCAAGGACTAGCCCTTTTAAGCCCACCTAATTTTTTATTATTATCAATATATTTATAAAGTTATAGATTAGTCTTTTATGAATAAGTTTAAATTAGAAAAATACTTAGAAGAATCAATACTCAAGCTAGATAATTAAAAAGAATTAGATGTCTTGGACTTGTGGAAGAACAATTAAAATCAATTTTCAATTCTTTCAAGAATGGTAGCTGATATTCTTGACATTTTAATCACCATAATAGCTAGTAAATCTTCATTTACCATCGGTTTACATATCTTAACAAAGTGTAAAACTTTTCTTATTTGAACAAATGTTCAGGCTCTTATTTGTACTTATAATTACTGTATAGTTTTATTTTAGATAAGGTAAATGAAAACAAAAACCTTAATATTTTTATCACTGAAGAAGAGCTCACTTGTAGTAAAGAACAATCAAATATT